CTTTGTGTTGGCACAGGTGACGCTGGATTGTCCGGGCAGCGAAGACTCTCCCCGGGTGGATAAGCTGGTGGAGAGGATCTTCCGCTGCAGCTGCCAGTCGTGCAGTAAGGAAGGTGCCCAGGAGGGGGCGGTGATGCAGCTGTATCCACCAGACAACAGCCTGGATCCTGTCCCGTCTTTATCAGACAGCGGGGTTCAGTCTGACCCCCTGCCCCACACAGACACGCACTCCTACAAGCATGCTCAACTACACACAGACCATCACTCACTACCACACACATCAGACGGGGGGTAGGTCTGTAATCTTGTCGCTCACTCCAGGGGACTTTGCCGCCCTCCCCACTCTCCCCCGACACTGCATCCTCTGTACCAAGCTGTAGTATTTTAAAGGCACTTTGAAGATATGACTTCACTTTGTGTTAAAGCGTTTCTCTAAAGGCACACACACACACACACACACACACACACACACACACACACACACACACACACACACACACACACACACTCACAGAGTCATGTTATCAGACGGTGTGTATGAACTCGTCCAAACACAAAAGCCTGTGCACTCTTTTGTTTGTTGATTAGCACATTCATGTGTGTGTTTGTGCATCCAAACATGACTATAGTCTGTTAATAAGCTGCAGTCTTTTAATCTGCTTCAAATGCATTAAAGTCAGTTGAGATAACTCTCTTTAGTTGTCGTGTTTATCTGAAAGCTTTCCTGCTGCTCTGTCACTTTTGTTTTTTACTTTTTCAATGTCACAAGAAATAAAACTGAAAGCGCTTTGTTTGTGTTGGCTCAAAGACCCACTTTCAGCTTCCTGTCAGGGACTACAAAGATGAAGCTGTGACTCTATTATGTGGTTGTTGTGTGACTCTTGGCCATGGCCACATGGTCTTGTTTTATTGTGACCAACAAAAATGTAGCCATGTCAGACTTTTAATCGATGCTGGTGCCACTTACTGGAGCGAAGAAGAGCTGCAGGATGAGACCCTCCTGCTTGTTGGCCTAAATCTGATCTCAGTGCCACAGAGGAACTTTTCCCTGCACATTTACTCAATTATCTACTTTATTTATGGTGCTGCATAAGGGATGTGGTCATGTTTTTCCAGTCATCTTTAAAAAAAATTCTGATATGTCAGTTTTACGTTTATGGAGTTTTCATTGAAGTTATTTGGCAATGAAAGATCATTTTTGAGGGTTCTTTATTCAATACCACTTTATAATTCTGATCCACTACATTTATTTCAGAATTTTAGTTTCTAAAAAAAATAAGATTTTGTATTCAGAACAGATCAAAAACTTCAGATTAGTTGTTAAATATAGTTGTGCTCTGACGTTTATATACACTCATCATGGGCGTTAATGTCATGGTAATTCTGGGCATTCTTTGAACTGCTGTTTCTCCAGGGTGGAACGATTGTGCAGCACACATCCTTCGTGACTTAAAAAAAAGAACTGGGGGCACAAGTTTTAATTTTCTATAATCCGCACAGGGTCAAAAGTATACATGCATCCCCACTAATATTTGGTTTTTAGTTGGGACACATTTGATAGCCATTAACAAGAACGGCAGACTTCATTTAAACTCACTGGTTTCTGAAGATCTAAGAATTAGATTTGTAGCTTTACAAAAGTTGGGAAGGTCTCTTTATGGTCAGACTAGAGAAAGTTGAGCTATTTATACAGATAGATATGATGGGAGGAATAAAGATGAGGCATTCAAATGTAATAACACTGTACCAGCTATCAAGCATGGTGGTGGTAGCATCATGCTCTGGGGCTGTTTTGGTGCCAGTGATATTGGTACATTGCACAAACTTGTGCTCAACTTGTATTTTTTAAGCCATTAAAGATACATGTTGTACAAATATATACACATTTATCTATATATTACTAGTCCTATGTGTATATATGTGTAGATTAGTAGGCAGCATTAATTAAATATCCCAATTTTATTATGACAGAAGAAAATACAAACTCCACACAGATTCAAGCCCAGGACCCATTTCCTGTCAGAGCACTGCACTAACCACTGAGCACCATTCTGCACTTGTATAGTTTTTCTTCAGTAACATTTTATACAGGATTTTACATGTAATAGAGTACACAGTGTGCTTGCACGGCTTCTTAAATAAAGGCTTTGACTATCTATTTCATCACTGCTATCAGCGAAATGATCCTTTTCTCTGTGACTGCAAAGTAAGGAATGGGGTCGAAAAACCACAATCCCCATTCTGGCCAGGTAATGCAGAGTACGTATCTGACACAAAGACTTTCAGTACAAATTCTGTCTGTGAGTAACTTGCTAAAATGCAGTGATGTGGTGCAGTTAGTTTGAAGAAAATGCTGATGTTGTTTAATATATACACAAGAAACATGCAGGTCTGTTCTGCGCTTTGTTCAGAAAGTTCACAGGTGCTCCAGCAGATGTCAGCAGATGTCACAGGTAGAATCCAGAGAGGCAACATTTATCGTGCACTTTACTTACAAAATCTTCCTCCACACCATCTGCAGCGTCTCTCCACTGCTTCATCAATCAATCTTTCATCTCCATTTCTATATCCAGGCAATGTCTTTTCTCAGCTCAGTTTCATATCCTCCTATCTTTTTCGCTTGTTCGGTGTAATTAAATTTGAGCAGCGAAAGGTTGACTGTCTGTCTGTGCTGGAAAACAAATCGATCATCTTCTTATCTGCAGCCACACAGCTGACAATGTTCTGAGGACTGCAGAGGGAGAAACTCGCAGGGATATTTATGGACGTATCACAGCCTTCTTTCCCCCCATTCAGCTTTAAATGTGTTCTGTTTTCAAGCTCATATACAAAGCAAAGGCAAACACCTCTCTTATAATAGAGAGGTTATGTAATAAGCTCTTAACTGTTCTTTTATTGTATGCATTTTCTGATCTTGTTTAGCTGCACTGGATGACTGGAGCTTCTTTTTTTTGCCTGTAGAGGATGTGTAGGCGTGTCCTCTGGTTGTTTTCAGTTCTATGAATTTAAGCTCACCCTAATCTGATTTTCCTGAGATTTTATCTGATTATCTGACAAGACTGGCTTACATTCACTTCTATAAACTACAGCAAAGGTCACTTGATTGGACAGACACCAAGATAAACAGGTCTGGGCTGTGAGTAGCCAATGATGTAGTACAACTGTTTAAAAACTGATAAAAATACATGGTGCTACCACTGTCCACTCTCTTTATTAGATATTAGCTACCATTTACAAATGTAATAATGAAGAACATAAACAACACAACACAATTTAAAGATGTAGATGATTTGTTTGAAAGAAACAACTCTGACTTCTGACACTGACCACACCCTGGAGCACATTTCTGCATCACAGAGAGAAAAAAAGTGGTCTGTGAGCATGAAAACTGACGTATCTGTGGTCTAAATATATCTTTTAATTATGCTGTTTTAAGCTTACAAATATAGTAAACACATATATTTCTGTAAATACTCAGACAATTTATTAGGTATAGCTTGCTAGTGCCGTGCTGACCTCTCTTTTGTCTTCAGAGCTGATTTAGTTCCTCATGGCACAGATTCATGAGTACAGGGAACTCAGTAACATGTTGACCAAACCAGGTCAACATGTTACTGAGTTTTGCAATATGGTGCATTATCCTGCTGGAAGCAGTGACCGGAAGATGAGTACACTGTGGTTATAAAAGTGTGAACATGGTCAGGAACAAAACTTAGGTAGGCTGTGTTAGTACTAAGGGAACCAAAGTGTGCCAAAAAATACCCACGAACATCATTATACCCCCACCAGACTGAACAATGATAAAAGCCAGGAGGGATCCATGCTTTCATGCCATTAACTCTAAATCCTGACCCTACAATCCGAGTGTTGCAGCAGAAATTGAGGCTCATCATATGATCACAGAATTTGGTGAGCCTGTGTGAATTGTAACCTCAGTCTTCTGCTGTTGTAGCCCATCAGCTTGAAGGTTTGACATGTTGTGCATTCAGACTTGCTCTTGTGCTCACCTTGGTTGTAATAAGCTGTTATTTGAATTACAGTCTCATCATTCTCTTCCGACCTCTGGCATCAACATGAGATTTTATGTGGGTGAAAATCTCATCTTTGTTATTTGTCATTTTGACGGTCAGCTTGGACCTCCGCAGGTCGTCTTAACCATGTCTACATGCCCAAATGCCCTGAGTTGTTGCATTGTGATTGACTGATTGGATATTTGTGTAAATAGGCTGTTAAATACATTGTACCTCATGAAGTGTCCCGTCAGTGTATGTGTTCGCCATTTATGGAGGTTTTCTCATTTGTAACTAATGGCTTAACTAACGGCTTTGTATGTGAGATATGCAATCTTTTCATAGTTTCTATCCTGAAAAATAAAAACTCAAGTAAAGTACATATACTGTATCTAAAAATTCTACTTGAGTACAGTAACAAAGTAGTACTCTGTTACTTCCCACCTCTGATCTTAAGGTAAACTCAAACTGTTCAGTATCTGTGTTTTGCCTGTTAGGAGTATTTCGAGATGTAAAGAAATGATCGCTCAGCCTTTGGTAAGTAAAGCTTATAAACATCAAACATCACTAAATGTTTTGGATCAAATGTTCTGCATCAACAGTGCATCGCTGAGACGAATGTAAATCACAAAGCAGATGAAAAGAGAACGATTTCCCACAAACTGGCAACTAAGTATGAACAACTAATGTTTAAATAGTAGATGACGTTTTTAGGTGAAACTTTATAGAGAAAATGTAGCAACAGCGGTGACGTGTAACCATGACACCATCCTCCTCCTCCTCTGTGGCCCTCCCTGTTCACTTTACTTTGTCGTTGATAAAGGGGTCTTGTGACACACTGCACCCCCCCCCCCACCCCCCCCCCCCCCCCCCCACTATACAAACACTTAGGAAAAATAGTCCAAGCTGTCAAGCAACCGCGTGAGCGCGCACTTTAACATTGGAGAGCGCGCTCCGGAGTCGCTCGCTTCCGCGGGCGCACAGAGGATCCCGAGAGCGCAGCAGCATCACTTGAGTCCGACTCACAGGTGCTCCTCTGCCGCTGCTCTGCTCTTGAACTGGCACCTGCCGTTATATTTGCTCGGAAACTAAAAGTTCAGAGTCGATTGCTGGGAGAGAATTTTCTCAAACACACAGGGATTACCGCGGTTTACAGCTACATCAAGGTAAGAAAAAACAATTCTGCTTGTTTAGTGCGTGTGATTAGAAGAAAAACCAGTGTGAAGCTAAAATAAAAAATAAAAATGATTTTAGTGGAGTCAATAAAACTGACCTAGAGGGAGCAGAACATACCAGTGGCTGACAAATTAAAGGAAAACTGAAAGTCTTGGTAAGGTGTTGGGTCATGAGAACTGCTGCGGTGCACATTAGCATTGATTGGTAGAGGAAGCATGGACACCATATTAACCAAAACACCAAAAGATGTGTTTTGGATAATATGGTGTCCATGCTTCCTCTACCAACACTGGCTTACAAATCTGTCCAGAGTCACCCATATCGGTTCATTTGTATTGAGATGCGGTGACTGTAAGGTCACATGGGTCAAATCATTTTCTTACTCATCAAACCAGTCAGTGAGCCCTGGTGCCCTGTGGATGAGGGACATTTTCCTCCTGGAGGAGACCACTCCCATCAGGATTAAAGTGTGTAATCATTTAAACGTTGGTACAGAGGGATACAAGTAGACAAAAACAATTTGCATCCACAGCAAAACAGACTCTGTTTAAGGGTCTTTTATTTTCCTCTAATTTGCCACCTACATGGATGTCCATATGTGGTTTGTGCCTCTAGCTCAGCAGCAGGTCGTTTAAGCTTTAAGGATTTAGTCATTCAAGTAAAAAAAGAAATGTATTTCTTTTTGGCTTTAGTGACAAAGACGTGATCGAAGAGATCGACCAGACGAGTGACGGGAAGATACTGAAAAAGTGTGGATACAGTATGTGTGTGTAGGTGAAGTCAATATAGGCTTTAAGTTCCCATTTCCATGGTCTGATGGGTTATTGGCTGGTTGAATGGAAAAGGAAAAGGAGGCAATTCAGGGACAGAGCTCTGTTTGCACCTCAATTATTTAATTTAAGTTTCAAAATTCAGCAGGCATGCATATATAATTACAGCATCCAGCCTGGAGAGGATACTTTAGCTACGTATGGTTGTTTGAGTCAACATAATAGTGGTGATAAATAAAAAGAAATGGACTGGTTAAAACATGCAGATATTGTCCATGAATGTAAAATAGGCTCGGTTTAAATAGCCACAGTAATGATGTGCAAGATTTTTTTTTTTTAAAAAGGACTCCTGCAGCACAGCGTCATTCTGTAGCTCGTAAAGTAAAACATTAACTCGATCAGACGCTGTCTCACAGGATGTGCGGTATGGACGTGGACCTGGACGACGGCGGTTCTGCCGAGGAAGAGAAAGAGGAAGATTTCTGGATCGGAGAGGGCGTGAAGATGCTTCCCCCGCCTGTGGCTCACAGCGGGGGCAGTGCTTGGGGCAGCCGTAGGGGAAGGTGTGGCTGCGTGGCCTGCGGGGCGGCTCTCATCCTCTGGAACCTGTGCGTGGTCTTAGCCAGCGCTCTGCTCCTGGCTGTGGTCTTCTCTGTGGTGCTCCTGCCTGCAGGGCTGCTGCTGTATGCTGGTTTCCTCTGCCACTCCAGGGTAAGCTGTAAAAATCTGTAGCAGAGAGTGCCATTTATCACCACATGTTAGATTGCAAAGTCTTATCTGAGTTAGTCATGCCTGCGGATGAAATTTCAGAGAATACTTAGCAAAAGTTGATAGAGACACAGGGCCAAAGGGTTAAAACTATAACGTCGGACACAGGATGCTGTTTAGTGGTGTTGGGAATCACAATGGGCCCCATCGGGCAGCACTTTAACAATGCAAGATAATGGAAATTTAGATAGCCAAGTTATGCACTGAATTTTTTATTTTTACACCCCTTCAACACAGATTATGTCCCCCAACAGTCCTTTTATATTGTAAGAGTTTCCTCTCTCTCTCTATCTTGCCAAGTAGACTGAGGGAACCATCTGTCACACTGCAAACACACACACACATGCACACACACACTAAACAAACTGGAACAACTGCTTCTGTATAACTTGTACACTGTCCTGATTTACTGGACACAGACGCAGGCACAGTAAACAGTCTGCTTTCTGTAACTGTATGTTTGGAAGAGTTCATTCATTTTCAAGGGGACTTGTTATGCTCATTTCCAGCTCCATGTTTCTATTCTCGGGCTCTATCAGACCTTGCATAATCCTTGTTTATCTGGTACAGGACATTAGGGCAGTCCCTCAGTCTATACTCTGTCTAAACCAAGCTGTTTTAGCTCAATTTCTCCATCCTCTAAGCTGACTTTCTTCTGACCGGTCTACCTCATGAACAAAAGGTTTGCACAGAGCTGGTAGCCTTAGATGACATCACACAGAGCCAAGAGTAGAAAAAACCCCAAGCTTCTGTTTCACAGGGATCAGTTGTTCATACGCTGACGTCTCTATTGGCCATGTTTAATCTGAGTGTCCACAGCACTAACGGTACATATATGACAGACAATAAGGAGAGCCTTTATTTTAACATGTTTATAATTTTGAAGAAACATGATTACGTGCAGAGATGCAATTACAATATTTTCTGTAGCAAGTAGAATTTAGCAACTAAAGAGGTATTTCCCTTGAGAGACCTTTGAGTCAAAACAGACACCTGATAATTAATCTACAGTGGATTTATTAAGTCATGGCTCCAGATAAATGGTGACGTTGCTCCATTTCTATTAGCTGAATTGATAAGCTGCTGTTTATTAAGTGACAACATTAGTGTTGCGTTTGTTACTTACATCATATCGCCAAACGTATTCCCTCATCTGCCTTCACACGCGTATGAACTTGAATGACATCCAATTCTAAAATCATAAGGTTTAATTTGATGTTGTGCCTTTGCAACTCTAATAGCATCAAACTTTTCCCGGTATGCCTTCCACAGGTTTAGGAGTGTTCATGGGAATTTTTGATTTTTCTTCCAGAAGTACATTTGTGATGTCGGACACAGTTGTTGGAAGAGAAGGCCTGGCTCACAGAGGTGTTCTGTCAGGCTGAGGTGAGGACTCTGTGCAGGCTAGTCAAGTTCTTCCACACTAAACTCGCTCATCCATGTCTTTCTGCACTGGTGCTCAGTCATGTTGGAACAGGAACTGGATATGAAATTGTACAAAATGTCTTGGATTGCTGAAGCTTTAACAGTTCCTGTCGCTGGAACTAAGGGGCCGACCCCAACTCCTAAAAAACAACCCCACACCATAATCCTTCCTCCACCAAACTTTACACTTGGCACAATACTCTCAGACAAGTACTGTTCCCCTTGGAACCAACAAATTCAGACTGACAGATGAAGAAATGTGATTTGTCACTCCAGAGGACACGTCTCCACTGCTCTAGAGTCCAGTGGAGGTGTGCTTTAAACCACTGCGTCTGATGCAGCTGCTTGGCCATGGAAACCCATTTAATTAAGTTCTCTACACACTTTTCTTGAGCTGATCTGAAGGCCACCTCAGCATCCGCTGACCATGCTCTGTGATTTTACATGACCTACCACTTCATGGCTGAGTTGCCGTCATTCCCAATCGCTTCCACTTTGTTATAGAAACACTAACAGCTGACTATGGAGTATTTAGTAGTGTGGAAACTTTACAGCTGGACTTGTTGCACAGGCGGCGTCTTATCACAGCACCACGCTGGAATTCACTGAGCTCCTGAGACCGACCCATTCTTTCACAAATGTTTGTAGAAGCAGACTGCATGCCTAGGCGCTTGATTTTACACACATGTGACCATGAAAGTGATTGTAACACCTAAATTTAATGATTTGGATGGATGAGTGAATACTTTTGGCAATATAGTGTATGTCTGGTGCCTCCACGTTTATAACGCAGGTACAAGAGGCTAGTACTTATCTAAGTGTACAAATGTACTTGGTTAAAAATACATATTTTGTTTGTATTTATGAAGTGAAAACAAGATAAAAACAGACCCTGCAAAACAAATGTTTCAGGCACACATTTACTTGTAAAGGCTTAGCGCTCCATTAGTGCTCAGGGCTTTAATTTACTTCCTGGCATTTGCAAAGCAGGTGAAGAATTACTAGGAGTTATCAGAGACTCCGACTCTTCAAACCCTGCAGTAACATCTGACAAGCGCTTCTGAAGTAAAACTGACAGAGGAGCTGGAAATGACTACTACAAAGCAGCATAGAAACTTCTTTGAAGGCAGGCACAGAAGTCATGCCAACACTTTGAAAAGCAAGAAATGGACGTCTGATGGACGAAAAGATAAACATGAGGGACTGACACAGGCCTCGTGGTGCACCTTTCCATTGGGGAGGGTTGATGCGCACGCAGGGTTAGCGTAGGAGAGTCAGCAGAAGAAAAATTGTAACCTGTAAAGCACCTAAAGAAACACAAACACGTCTGAGTCATTTCAGAGTTAAAACTGAGGTTTTTAGGTTATGGAGAAAAAAACAGGAGATGCAGCTTTTGGAGCATCTTGTTCAAACAGGCGAGTAAATATTCTGCTTCGAGGTTATGCTGCACCAACACAAACAAGACTTTTTGAGAGAAATATCACAAAATTCATCCTGCAGCCAATCAAGGAAGAAAAACCTAAGTGTAAAGAGGGTTACTTCTCCGAAAGGATGATGATCCAAAATGGAACAATGCACGACTTCATGAAACGTCAGCTAAAGTGTTGAGAGTGGCCCTGGACTTCCATGGACCTGACCATCATTGAAAATCTCCGGCGAGATAAAAAGTGATCTGCAAGAGGAGTGGGTGAAAATCCCTGCACAGAGAGCCTCTGTTACCTGGCTGTAATATTTGGCACAGTCTATTATTTTGTCCTATTTCTTAAATAAAACAATTAAGCTAAAATAAGTGTTTGAATCTGTTGCTGCAGGGTTGTATGTACTTCTTTTCATTAAACAACCAACAAGATATCTGCCCAGGGCTGCCCAAATATTTGCATACAAGTCTAAGAGTCAGTTCACAAATCATTTGAGAGAAGGAATCTGCTCTGCCACTGAGTCTTCTTTAACTTCTCTGGAAGTTTAGGCAAGTAAGCCCATGCCATTTGTAAACAATAGGAGGATTATCTGTCATTTAGGTTGGCTCTGGAACCTGGAGAAGGCAAACAGTCAGCCTTCAGGCCAAGTCTTCTTGGCAGCATTTTCTACATGTGTACCTCACACCTTCCCCTCAGAGGTGTTCAGACATATTCTCTGGGTTTGCACAGCAAAACAAACACGGTAACTTGAGTTTGAATGTTGGAGTTTGTCAGCATTTCTGACAGGTGCGGCTCTTCTTGTGTGAGATACACGAAATGCAGTTAAATCAGTAAAGAGCAGTGGACCTGGGCATCGTACCAAGTCAGGCAGGAGAGAGCTACAGTTCGGTCCTTAGCTTACCCGATAGGTCATAAAATCAAAGCCCGGCTGAAGACCCTGGTTGTCTCAGTTAGGAGTGATTTGTGCACAGCCATGTAGGGCACTGCACATGAATTAAAAACATGCAACAAGGGGACACAGAACGAGAATATAATCACGATTAGGCCAGAGTGAATGTCAGAACAGGCCAAGCAATTACAGACAATGTCAATCAGACTTCTTCCTTTTGTGGCAGCAGAGCACGAAGCGAGGGAAGACAAGACAGTCTGATTTGGTGCCAGCACCAGCTGTGCACAGACACACTGTCAGCACGACAAGGAAGGAAATGTACTCAGTGAAAGCATCACTTTACACTTCGCAGAGGGGTGTGTGCGCTTGCAGGTGTGTATTAAACACAGCTGTTGCTACGGTGCATTTAGAAAAAACAACTTTTAGCTTAGAATCAGAATCACTTGTGCAAAAGAAATAGAAACAATAGTAAAATGAGAGTGACTCTTTACACTTAATATGCCTTAACATGCGATTTAGTCATGAAAGTGTCTCCGCTTGCATTTTTCTAACAGATTTGTGTGAGACAAGTATATGATGTACACTCACTGGACACTTTATTTCAGCTTGCTAATACTGGGTTGGACCCCCTTTTGCCTGAATAATAATAATAATCGTTGATGATTGCTTCTTGGGGGTATCAATTCAACAAGGTGCTGGAAATGTTCCTCAGGTATTTTGCTCCATGTCAACATGATAGCATCACACAGTTGCTGCAGAGTTGTTGGCTGTTTAACCATGATGTTAATCTCCCCACCACATCACAGAGGTGCCCTGTGCTTCTTTGCAAAACCTCTCAAGCTCCAATCAGGCTGGATGGGTGTGAATTTCAGATCTCTTGACTAAAGTTCAGTTGAGTTCAAACCTAGGCTGTGGCTGAGCCACTCCTTTGTTATCTTGGCCGTGTGCTTAGGATCGTTGTCCTGTTGGAAGATACAGACCATTCCTTGAACTTCATGCCTTGGTTGGTGCTCTGACGCGCACTGTCAGCTATGGGACCTTATATAGGCAGGTGTGTGTCTTTCCAAATCATGTCCAATCACCTGACTTTACCTGTGAAAAGGCTGTGAATATTTATAAAAATGTACGTGTTATATTTTTATTTTTTCTTTGTAGTACATTTCCAAGAATTTTTCATTTTGTGTTTGTGTGTCAAAATGTGAGGTGAAAAATGAATTAAATCCATTTTGAAAAAGGCTGTAACGCAACAAAAATGTGGAACACATGAAGTGCTGTATGTTTTAAGAAGAAAAACAGTGACATTTACTTTCTTTTCAAATTGAAAAACCATTTAGTAAAAAGTGGTCATCAGATGTGTCTGAATTGTAAGCTCTTGTAACAATGTCACTGCGTCCTCACACAGGTGTGAGTTTCAGCTGCTAACTTTGCTGCTAGCTTTGTCTCTCTGCTTTTTGCAAGCTTCTGACTTTTACTATCTGACCACCTGCTGTCCTCCCCCCTCCTCTCGCTTGCAGGTGACTGACAGCTCCGAGGTTTACTGACAGCACTGAGCACACTCTTATCTTGCAGAGAGAAAGAGCGAGGCAGGGAGAAACTCTGTCACGCCCCACTGCCCACACAGTCCCACTACTGCACCCTCAGCACACATCCAAACACGCCTCATATTTAATGAATACAAATCCTGCCTATTTGCTTTTTCACAGATGAGATGGAGCTCCTGCTGAAGCCAAAGTGCTCATCACATGTTTTGGAGCACCTCTGTCTCATCTACTCTCCCTCCTGTGTTTGTCCTTGCAGGTCCTTGATGCACCCTCTGCCATCTGCCATTATCTCGATGACAACAGCTGCTCTGCCCTCATCATCCTGGGCTTTGTGATGATGTCTCCGCTCGTGATCGTGGCGGCGGCAGTCTTCTGCGGGCTGCTCCGAAAGTTTCGACTCCTGCTTTTCATTCAGCCAATCAAGCGCGCCTGGTACAGAGGGAGGCTGCTGGACTGGGCGGGCAGCATCCACGCCTGGGTTTGATCACAACAGAGAAGGTGGTGCTGAGGGTCACAGTGATCGGAAAGATTGATTTGTGCAAGACGAACCTGAGGGTTACAGATGTTTTGCAAAAATAGAAACATCATTATAGTCGATAAGACAGTCATACAGCTAATACTTACTTTGTCAATGGTTGTAAAAATGTTTGACATTTTAGAAATATTCGAGTCCTCTTTTCTCCTGTTAGTTTTGGTGAGAAGATCAATATCACCCTCATGTCTGTGGGGTGATATTGAAGCTGCAAAGACCAGATAATTAACTTAGAATGGGATAAAGACTGAAAACTTCGATTCAGGGTGAAACCCAAAACACATACATTAATATAAACCACCTAAAAAGATATTCCAGAGCTTTAGAGGTGACAGTAGGAAGATTAAATTAGCCTTTCCAGCTAGATGTTGCTGGGATTTGTGCTTATCAAACAGCCATCTGCCTTCAGCCTCCTCTTTGAGAGTGCAGTCACCTCTCACTGATCTCTCAGACAGAATACAAAAGTGTAACTTCTAAAATGTCAAACTGTTCTTTCAAGACCAAGACCTGTGTTATTGTGTCACATATTTCTTTTTATTCATTTGGCTACTCGCGGCCCATTTTGGGTAATTTTGTGAATTGTTTTTTTGTTTTGTTTTTTTGAAAATGACCCTAGATGAGGGTTTGTTGGGTTTGTGTGGCTTTTACACAGAAACAGACCAGTTTTCTTAGATATGTAGTGCCATCTTACAAGAATCTTAAAGCAAAACACATTACGGGCTCATTATTGAAGTAAACCAGATGCATATTAGAACAGATGAGAAAAAAAAAACATGCAAACTTCTTGGAGAGTGAAGGATACCTGCAGGGTATTCACGCAAGCTTTAACAGCTCCTTGTTGGTTTATTTTGAGGACACATCAAACACCAGTTTAACTATGATTTTGTACAAAAACTCATATTGTTGTGATTTTGTATTCCCTGTTTGCGAACTACATGGATGTGTTTAAATGTGAGACCTTCTCAGAAGGTTGTATTTGTGGTTGCACTTGAGAACTTTCTAAATAAGAACTAGTCACTAGCAGACATTCCAGGTTGCCTAGGTTACCCTCTAATGTACAGTGTTGTGCAAAAGTCTTGGCCCACCCTTCATTTCTTTATGTTTTGCTTCCAAAAAGCCAAACTTGATAGTAATTTTTAAAAAAGTTTTCTTGAACATCAGTTTTGTTGTTGTTTTTTTGTTTTTTCCCCACTCATTTTCAGTTGAAGCTATAAAAATGCCAAAGATATCAAAGTTTGAAGGCATTTTTGCACCAACAAGGTAATACCCAAAGTGCTATTAGCTAAAGATTTGGCATATCTAGGAAATAGGAAAACTGCAGCAAAGACCTGACACAGGACCTGAGTGATGCATCTATCCCTTCAGTTGATCCATCTACTGTTCATTCAAGATAATTCATTCAAATCATCAGTATATAGAGAGGAGGTCAGGAGAGATGAACAACAGTGAGTGTCTGCAGCCATCTGCAAAACAGTGGAGGCTCTGTCATGGTTTGGGGATGCATTTCAGCAAGTGGTGTTGGAACCATCAGAAAAGCATCAGATTTTTCAGTGATCCCAAACACACCTCTAATTCAGTAAAAGCAAACCTGCTTAGAAAAGCACGCAATGAAACACACTGAAGCAGTGTGAGATCATCTTCACAGAGAACAGAAGGTAGCCAACATCCAAAGAAGAGCATTGAATGGCCTTTAAGAAGCCTGCAGAACTTTTCCTGAAGACTACTTAAAGAAATTACAAGAAAACAAGAAAGTTCAGTTCAAATAGAATTGTACAAGCTCCATACACTGCATTTCTATGTTTGCTTGCACATGTTTCGATAAATTATTGCACCCATTTGCAATTTTCTCAGCAAAATAAAAAGAAACAATGGGTGGCTTGAGACTTTTCCAAAGTTCTGTAGCTGATATCGTTGTCATGTGTCAATCAACGGCATTCCTGCCTTCTCATTTATAGGTGCTTCAATCGCTCACCTGCGATGGGGCTTTTAGGAGACCCTTAAAAACAAGGCGAATCTTGTGAAATGCATTATAACTAGAATTACTCTCTTGCGGTTTTTGCAGAATATGATGTTGTCATTATTTTGACGACATCTAATAGGATTTTTTCCTATTAGACATTTTTGTAAGTTATGGCCTAAAGTGTCACGAGGAACATCAAAGCTTTGATTATGAGGATCATCCTTGAGTCGAAGCGAGTTTTTGTGCCAAAAATATGAAGCAGTTCCTTCATGATGTTCACATGGAATCATAAACGCCCACCCAGTGGCATAAAAAACTTTCACAAAGACTTAAATTGACAGTAAAGTTTATTCCCAAGGAGTTTTACCCAATGTAGCATCATCAGCAGTCATACCTTGTGAATGTGGGGGCGATATGAAACATATTTCATTTTAATGCTTCTTTTAGATCACATTGTGCCATAAAGAAACACCCCTCTTCGTGAACACAACTAAAGTCGACAGCATGACAAAGTAATTGCCTTTCAGTGGGATCAGACTGTTAAAGAGGGATTTGAATCATCACATCAGGAGCTCATTGTGTTGCCTCTTTGCTTTCCGGTCCTTTAAATTCACCAGTGACACGCTGCACACCCTTTTATCTGTGTCCTTGCTCCATAGCTAAGTGTTCAGACTTGTGGCTTTGCCTTTCAGAAGGAAGAAATAAATCATATTTAATGATGGGCAGTGATTATTCATCCTCTGCCACTTGTATCATGCTAAATTATATGTATTTTTTAGCTTATTTATTTGTGTGTTTTGTTTGTGTTTATTAATCTGAATGTGCTCTGTTAATCCAGCCAGATAAAGAATGGATCGAAGTTAAGACCAGTGTTTTGGAGAACCGTGTAGGAAAAAGGCTGAAATAGTTTTTTTTAATGTCACAGGGTTGTATACCACATCTGAAGCAAATTACTGGGAAAATTGCAGCAGCTAATTGAGGTTTATTTATTTTTTTGTTCAAAGTGAACTTTGGTGTTATCAACAAAACAGCATGTTCTGACCTTCCATCAATAAAAAAAGAGGACATCTCTTTGTCGGCATGTCTCTTTTGTGTTGTGACCCGTTTTTGAAGGTTGGAAAGCTTTGAAGATAGGGTAGTAACATTTACTTCTCACTTTCTCTCAAGCTCACAAGCAGAGCACACACTTGGATACTAAGAGGACACTATCACACTCATTTCTGAGGAAAACAATATGATAAAGTCTGCGATAAAACTGGGACGCTGGCTGGTCACATCTGTGCAGATCAACAGAGCAAATGAGCTAATTAAAGGAAAATGTTGCCTCTGATTATGTTTTCGTCCAGTCTGTTCTCGTGATTTATGCTGCCCATTAATGCAGTTCAGCACTCTTCATATTGACAAATTAAAACTATCCTGCGGCCTGAAGTGCTGACATGCGTCTGCTTTCAGTAGGATGAATGTTTATCTTGCAATTTGCAAAAGCAATCTTCAGTATCTAAAGGATGTAATTTTGCTTGAATGAGTCAAAACAAAATAGTCTGGGCTAAGTCTGGAATCTTAAAACGTGTTTAGCCATGCAGACATTTGTAAAAGCACGGGTCCTTTTGAAAAGCTCACTGAATTCAAGTATGGCACTGTAACGGGATGCCACCATTGCAACAAGTCAGTTCACAAACTCTCTTCCCTCCTAGATATTCTTTACTCAATCAGTAAGTGTCATTATTGCAAAGTGGAGGCATTCAGGAAGCACAGCAACCTAGCCATATAATAGCAGACCACATAAAGTGACAGGCCATGTTCTCCGAGTACTTAGATGAATAGTGAATAGAAGTTGACAACCCTGTGGTGCGTTTTAAGCCTCCTCTGGCATTAACATCAACATGAAAATTGTGCACTGGGAGCTTTATGGGTTGCCTCAAATGGGTTTCCGTGGCTGAGCAGCTTCTAAATTTATTGAAGATCTGCTGTTTAATGACAATAAAAAGGATAATACTAAGAAGTAAACTTTGCAAGACAATGTGCACTAATATTACTGCAGAGCTCCTGAAGGTGTAATGTGTTGGTGACCCAGTAGTTTTCTCCAAATGCTGCAGGGGCTCATTTTCAGCCCACATTCACCTTTTTTTTTCCCAGTGGCACATTGTATTACCTAATGCTAGCTCAAAGGATGATCAATCACACACAAAAAATGCAATTATATAGACTAAAGAAGTAAAGAAAAGAAGTATTACATCTGTAGAAACAGCCATGATTCAATAATAGTCATAAAAAAAGAGTGAAGTGTTCCTAAATTAACATACTATACTAAAATTGGACATGAAAATTATTATTCAAACAAGTAAAAGCTGGACCATATCACCACTGAGGGTAAATGTGTGCTATAGTAAAATTTCAGAGATTTGTGACGCTTTCATGACAAACAGAAACAAAAAAAGTTAGTCATTAGAATTGGGAAAGAACTCTGTTTCAGTAAAATAGGCTCAAGGTCTAAAACATGTGAAAGTTTCTGAGTAGTCGCCCAGTGTGGGCAGTAAATCAAGCCGCAATCATCCAGTCCATAAATATAACTCTGAAGTGCAGGCCTTCAGCTTTAATTCAGTGGGATGAACAAAATATTGCATACAAATGTGAGGAACTAAAGCATTTTAACAATCCCGTCATTTCAGTATTTGGACAAATTAAATAGCTCAAAATAAAATGTTCATTTCTCATACTTGGTTGAAAACCCACGGCTGGTAATGACAGCCTGAAGTCTTGAACTCATGGACTTCACCAAATGCAGGGTTTTCTACTTTTTAATGCTCTGTCAGGCCTTTACTGCAATTGCTGTTTGTGGCCATTTCTCTGTGAAGTTTATCCTTCAACAAGAGATCAGGTGACTGACTCAGCCATTCAAGAATATTCCACTTCTTTGCTTAAACTCCTGGGTTGTTTTGGCTGTATGTTTTTGGGTCATTGTCCATCTGTATTATGAAACACCGCCATATCAATTTGACTGCTTGTAGCTGGATTTGAGCAGACAGTATGTCTCTGAACACCTCAGAATTCATTCGCTGCTCCTGACCTGTGTCACATCTTCAATAAACACTAATGTCTCAGTTCCACTGGCAGCCATGCACGTCCAAGCCATCACACTCCCTCCGCCATGTTTTACAGATGGTGTGGTATGCTTTGGATCACGAGATGTTCTACGTCTTCTCCTGTACTTTTTTCTGAACGTTTTTCCAGTACTGTGCTGGCTGTTTTAGATTTTTTTTCCAGTCTTCTCTTTGTCGTACACTTGGATGTTGATGCGCCTACCTCCTGGAGAGTGTTGTTCACATGGCTGGCTGTTGTGAAGGGATTTCATTTCACCATGGAAATGACTGTCTTTTAAAAATCTGAAACTTTAAGCAACATTCAGACTTGGTCTGTGCTGACTCCACACATGCCCAGTTCTATGGATCCATCTTGTTGTCTTTAAAGTTTATCACCTTCACATATTTGCCAGATGGTCATGGTTAACTTTTTTCCCATTTAGATTAACTAGGTGGATCATGTGAGCTTTAGTGTTCCCCTTTCGCATGCTCCACTTCCTCAGCGGAGCATGCTACAGGGAAAATTGACATCTACCATAAGTCAATCTGTTGCACAATTTTCTGCCATTTTCTGCTGTTAAGTGCTTGGCAATTAGAAAAGATGTCCAATATAGGGAGGAAATTGTGGGAGGGTGGAGCGGAGATTGAGCTCTGAAAGCCAGAAGCCATGACAGAAAGGGCTCTGGTTTACTGCTAATAATAAAACAAAACAAAACATAATAATCAAGGTATTATTATATATTTGAAATCCTGATATCTCCTCTAGACAATGCTTCATATCTGATTTTCATCATTGATTATTTTCCAAATGGAAATTTTGAAGGATTTGTTTTAATAATTTTGAAGGACATTTATTTTAATATGCAATGCTGAACTGAGGCTGTGAATATTTCCATGTGTTAAGAGGAGATAATGGCATTGTTGTTTGTGTGAAAATGTGTATTTTTCATTTCTTCTCTTATTTATTTATTTAGTTTCATTAGTACTGGTAGAGACAAAAATGCAGGGAAAGTGCCATTAAACAGAAAAACAGGGGATGCG